TATATATATATATATATATATATATATATATATATATATATACCAGATTTGTCACCAATCTGATCCTGGTTAAGTCGTGAACTTAGGGTTAAGAATTTAATATCAGTTGCAAAGAAATAACTATTTATTAGTTTTCATGTACACAAATTGGTATTAAAGTCCAGAACAGGTCGTGCCCTAGTGGTTAGTGTACCCGGACTGTGAATCCGAGGGTTCATGGTTCGCATCCAATTCCGCAGAAACCACAACAAACTTTTGGTCCAGACTAAGATCTGAATTATAAGGTAAAGCGAGGTTTACAATGACGGCAGTCAACATACATAACCAAACCACAAGAAACGTTTGGTCCAGACCAAAGTTTGAACAATAGGGTAGAGCAAGGTTTGCAATGACGGCAGTCAACATTTATAACTAAATCACAAAGAAGTCTTAATTAGCTCTGAAAGTTAGGCAAGTAAACTAAACAACGTTAGTCTGGAAACGTCTGATTTAGGCGAGAATACTCCTTTATTCCCACAGAGAGACATCTGGTGATAAAACCTATGTGCAGTACTTCTGTTTTAACCATTATTTAAATATATATAATCTTAATTTAGGCTAAATTCCATAATTTTTATTCATAGATAGAAGGAATGTGTTAAATGTTGATTATGTTTACTTCGCCTTCAAATATATTGATAATGGGTCAGTTATAAGATTAGACTGACGGATTCTTTCTTTCTTCGGAACTCTTCTCATTTGTAAAACAGGGATTGATTGATGAACTTACGAACACCATTAAGGAAAATCAGTGGATAATTACTTTCTTGCAACGTACTTTGATGTTAATCTTTTCGTCACCGAATGGATCCGGATTTTCGACGATTTTTTCACTGAATATTCACGATTGTATATGTAACAGTTGTTGTAAAAAGAGTTGTGAAACATACATTAAGCTCAGGAAACGGAAAGCTTTTTTTTTTAATGTTGTCGCTGGTTATTAAAGTCTCAGGAAAAGTAACTTACGACTCTTTCTGGCAGTCGTCTGTAAACGTGTCTTCTGTTAAGTAATTAAAAAATCTATTTAAACGATCAGAAATTTTCAAAGCAATCAAACACGTTACATAATAATATTGGTGGTGCTTTTTCAGTGCTACTGATACTTAAGTTTTTTTTAGTTCTGCAGATATGTAGACCTTACCTAGCACTGCTGGGTTTCAACTGTTTTGGCCTTACATGAACCCCCAGTGGGGTTCAGAAGTAACTCTGAAGTCTTTTAACACTCAAACCCGGGTTTCGACACCCGTGGTGAGCACAGCACAGATAGCCCATTGTTTAGCTTTGTACTTAACAACAAATAAAACATTACACATGTGTTGACCACTTCGTAGTTTGATGTTATAGGTATGTTTAACTTTAACTCCGTTCACACGTTAATTGTTTGCCGTTGTAGATAATGTTGAGTTTATCTAGCGATGAGGCAACACATTATTTAACCTTGCCTGTACCATTACCTTACCTAACAGTAACAACCAACACATTATTTAACGTTGCCTGTACCATTACTTTACCTAACAGTAACAACCAACACATTATTTAACCTTGCCTGTACCATTACCTTACCTAACAGTAACAACCAACACATTATTTAACCTTGCCTGTACCATTACCTTACCTAACAGTAACAACCAACACATTATTTAACCTTGCCTGTACAGTTACCTTACCTAACAGTAACAACCAACACATTATTTAACCTTGCCTGTACAGTTACCTTACCTAACAGTAACAACCAACACATTATTTAACTTTGCCTGTACCATTACCTTACCTAACAGTAACAACCAAACACTGAGTTAACTAGCTTGATTTATCTTATACTCCTTGTACTAAAGTAGTTTAACCCCCAGTTGATGATATCCGAATTGTTTGTACACAAATTGTTTGGCTATGTAGATATATTGACACAAATTTAATTTCCCCAGAGATATGTTGGTAAGGAAAACAAAACGTAATTTCCACATTTGTCTTCATTGTCTAGGAGGATTCTTATTGGACCCTCTGCCAGAAGAAGATTCTGAACCTTCCATTGTACCTATCTTCGTGGAGGAACCCCAAGATAGCTACATAGTAAGAAACAAACCCGCTGTCCTCCACTGTAAGGTCCGCCACGCCCTCCAGATCTACTTTGAATGCAACGGTAATCCAGTCTATGACCGTCAACATAGTCAACAACAGTATGTAGACCCCATGACCGGCATCCGCCAATTGGAGGTTTCGGTGGATGTCACCCGGGAAGACGTGAAAGACTCTGAAGATTCAAATGGTTTTCACTGCGTGTGTCATTCGTGGTCGTCAACCGGTCGGTCTCACAGTCGGAAGGCTCTCATTAAGATAGCATGTAAGTTATAGATAATATTTCCCGGTATCGACTACTGTTTTTAAGAGGGCTCTCATTAAGATATCATGTAAGTTAATAGATAATATTACCCGGTATCGACTACTGTTTAAGAGGGCTCTCATTAAGATATCATGTAAGTTAATAGATAATATTACCCGGTATCGACTACTGTTTTTAAGAGGGCTCTCATTAAGATATCATGTAAGTTAATAGATAATATTACCCGGTAGCGACTACTGTTTTTAAGAGGGCTCTCATTAAGATATCATGTAAGTTAATAGATAATATTACCCGGTATCGACTACTGTTTTTAAGAGGGCTCTCATTAAGATATCATGTAAGTTAATAGGTAATATTACCGGATAAAAATTACTGTTTTGAAGTTGAAAGCAGATCATACGGATAAACCACGGAAATAAGTCACTACCTAAGTAGGCTTAGTGTGTGATAAGCCTACTTTATGATTATTTGCATGGTGGCATGTTGTCGTAGTTTCATATAGAAGTCACATTTAGTAAGTGTATTAGCTAATGCTGGCTTTAGTAGGTTTTAAAGCTGCTCTGCATGAAAATATACTTGGATTAACTTCTAAGACTGTGTAATGAGATAACTTGTTTCCATACACTTACCAATGTTAACTGAGGTCGATGTGGTGCTATTAAACGTCCAATTATTTCTGCAGTGTAACAATAAATAAATAGTATAATAATCATGGCAGATACCTTGATAAATTAGTTTGTTTCTTCGACTTTTGCAGCTTGTTTTTCATGATTTACCATCCGAGTCAACTCCTTTCTTTTAGTCGATACCTGTGTTTGTATAAAGTTTCATTATTATTCTAAAAAATGATCGCAATCTGAGGGTCGCGGGTTCGAATCCCCGTCACACCAAACATGCTCGCCCTTTCAGCCGTGGGGACGTTATAATGTGACGGTCAATCCCACTATTCGTTGGTAAAAGAGTAGCCCAAGTGTTGGCGGTGGGTGGTGATGACTAGCTGCCTTCCCTCTAGTCTTTCACTGTTAAATTAGGGACGGCTAACGCAGATAGCCCTCGTGTAGCTTTGCGCGAAGTTCACAACAAACCAAACCAAAAATTATCAGAGGTAAGATATAATTTAATAACCAATAACAAGCTGTTGCCCCCCAATGGCACAGCGGTATGTCTGCGGACTTACAACGCTAGAAACCGGGTTTCGATACCCGTGGTGGGCTGAGCATAGATAGCCCATTGTGTAGCTTTGTGCTTAACTTCAAACAAACAAACAAGTTGTTGTTTTTTTATGTTGGCTCTTAACCAATAACAACTTTTTTATGTTGGCTCTTATAATTGTCTTCAGTTGCTTATAGATAGTTATCATAGAAAAGTCAATGTTTTCACTTCTTTTATATTTACTCTTTGCTCTAGTATTTAATAATCCTTTCTTTGCTGGTTTAAATGTTCCGAATGGTGTTTGTGTTTGACATCACATTTTAACTTCGTTTTCCTTCTTTTTCTTTCACCTATTCCCGTGACTGAATACCCGTCTTTGTGTTTTGTATGTATGTGTTCACAATTATTCATACTTTTCATATGAGAGAATTGAAAGACTTGTTTCAGTTCTTTCGAAAGTAGATCAGTAACTTATCGACATTTGAGAACTGCGATGCTAAAACAGTTATACCGAGAGAATTGAAATGTTGCTTGTTAAAAAAGCCTGTTGAAATTCCAACACGTTTCACACAACTAACACGTTCACCTGGGCCTGAATTAACACGATTATTTTAAACTTAGTATTCTTTTAAGTTTCGTGTGTTTTGTCTTAAGTTAGAATATCACATTGAATTTTAATACACCTATATGAACGTAAATACAACACAACCTAAGCCAGTGGTCCTCAGACTGTTTCGTTCCGGACCACTTCGGCGGCGCAAAAGACCCCGAGCACCACCTTACCGGCCCTACCCACACCCACCTTCGCTTCGCACCGAAAAAAACAACTCATCAGTGACTTGTATTTTAGACCAGCCCTCTGACCATCTGGAGAACCTCGAACCATACTTTGAGAACCACTGACCTAAACTTCAGCCCATGTTAACATTAATATTCTTTGATTCGTATCTCAGCAATCACACGTTCTTATTATTTCATGTCCGAGTGTACCGATAATACAAAAATTCTGAAACATATTTTGAAGATGAGCGAATCAGCCATATTTTATGTTTTATATACAATGAAATTTTCTCACCAAACATTAATGAAATTATGGAGCCTTTAATAATGGCTCCCCCCCCCCTTCCCCCTCCCAGTACACGAAGCGTTATGCGTCTGCACGGCTGCAGTCTTGATGAGTAACATGCTAGACAGGCTGGCTCCGGCTCTCCAGAACAGATACGATCATGAAACTGGCTCCATGTGTATGTCCACATTGTCTTTAGGTGGTTTTGGATGTTTCCTAACGAATTAATATATTTCGTTCTACATGTTTCACATTTTTTCGTCTACTTAATTAATGAACTTCGATTCTTTCCGTCTTAATTATGAAAACAAATCAGTGTCTCGAATCTTTTCTTATTTATTAAGTTAATTGAGCTTTCCCTCCGAAGAACCTCGTTAGCAAAAGCTTCTTGCGCTTAGAATGTCGCTCTAGTGTCGGCTTCTTTCCTGGTGAATCGTGTTGTTCTTAAGCAATAGAACGTGTAGCTCGACGTTCATACTAAACAGCTACAGTTATGCAGTGCATGTGCTGTGGAATAGCATTCAGGCAGAGACACACACACACATTAAATTTACTACAACGTAAGAAGCAAAGTTTGGCACCTAATGCTAATGAAATACGAAGATTTAACTTCGTAGCTTCTGGATTTTCGAATCCTTGTTTCAGGGAACAAGCCCAGACAAGTTTGTCAGCGAAAGAGAGAGAGAATGAGGAAAACATATATAAATATAAAGGACATTAGATTAGTTAAAAGTATTTACAGCTACTTGCTATACCCACCAAAGATGGGCATGTTTGTTTGTAATTAAGCACAAAGCTACACGATGGGCTATCTGCGCTCTGCCCACCACGGGTATCGAAATCCGGATTCTAGCGTTGTAAGTCCGCAGACATACCGCTGTGCCACTGGGGGGGGGGGGCACAAAGATGGATAGTTAAAAGAACGAGCGGGAAGGACGGATAAACAAACAGATATTAAATTTTAATTATTTGCGCTTATCTTCAATCAGGGTTGTATAATCGATATTCTATGGCTAGCCTTCACGCTTATCTTCAATCAGGGTTGTATAATCGATATTCTATGGCTAGCCTTCACGTAGATTCTTGGAAAGGCAGTCGTTTTTACCAACTAAATTCTCAATTAAATGAAACTTCACCAACGTCATAAATAGGTATAAATAGAAACTTTGTGCACTGAGCTGTCAAGAAAACTTCAGTCTCTGCATTAACGTTCGGTAATAAGTGAGCGCAACGTTTATGTATTTATTTCGTTCGCTAAACACATTCATCAAGAACTGGTCTAAAAATATGCAAGTTTAGTCAACAGTGCACATATTTCTATTAAACGTCGGTAATTTACCTCTGAGGAGGTCAATAATATTTATCCAAAGTGCAAAGGGATATATTTATCCAAAGTTCAATGGAGTATAGTTATGCAAGAAGGTATATTTATAGAGAGTGCAAAAGGATATATAATCCAAAATTCAGTGAATAATGATACTTCTTATATCTCACTTTATTAAAAGGATAGTTTAAAGGAAAGGAAGTATTCATATTTTTTATCGCCTTAACTTTATAAAAACAGATTTTTACATTTTGGGAAAAGAAAAAAAAAACGTGGAGTGAATTCGTATGCGTGAAGAAAGCGTGACACCAATTATTAATGAACAAATTTAGGCCTGAAGTTTTCTAAAAGTTCTCTTTTAAATGCTTGATATTAGTCTTTCTTAGTTCTGCTAGACATCATGATTATTTTCCGAACTTTTATGTTTCACGTAACTCGTGCTTTTAAACTTGATTTGTCTGCTGTGTCTTCGAGCTGCATGATATATCCAGATGTTTTCGCAGTTCATAAGACTTGACAGTAATCCCATCACATCTCCAGCTTGTCTTTCACAGATGTAATTAAAAGTCTCTAATCGAGATCTCATCAGCCATAACAAATTAAAGTTGATGTGAACGTAGGCTTGTGAAGAATATCAAGAACGGCAAGTATTTCGTGGAAAATCAAAAACATTCCATGTAAACCGATTAAGAAGATCACCCTAACATTTATAAGTGAATTTTCTTTACCCGAGAAAAGCAGTCTTCATTAATATTAATATACATATACTTTAGGCTTAATTAATTCTACGGGTATGGTATTCAATATTCAGATTACGATTACTTTGCCACTATATTTATTGAACTAGAAAACATATTTTTTGTTGATTTTAAGTACATTTCATTTACATTTGGGACTTTTACCTGTAAATAATCTGATATGAAATTACTTGTTTTACTTAACTATCAGAATAACGCGTTTTTTCCTTTCTTACTCAAATTTAACGACGATAGAAAGACAGATTTCATATAATAATTTCCCTTTTAAAACAAGGATAAAGAAAAAACTTGTTCACTTAAATACACCTGCCAAGTTTTAAAAATATCATATGTACATAATGAAACTAATTATATGTATATTTTACAATGTAATGAAACTAATTATATGTATATTTTACAATGTAATGAAACTAATTATATGTATATTTTACAATATAATGACACTAATTATATGTATATTTTACAATATAATGACACTA